AGCCTGCTGGACTTAATTTAGTTTCTTAAATCACTTCAATGAATACAGCCTCTGCCTCACTACTGACTGAAGCCGTAATGGGAGGAGAATGAGGTTTCTAAAAGACCATTCCCGTGGCTGAAAACCAAGAAGTCTAGTCTTTTGGGTTCTTGAACCCGACTCCAACGTGAGTGTGTGTGTGTGTGTGTGTGTGTGTAACCAACACATTAAGGTAGAAAATGCTTGACTGTTCCACCATAAGAAAATTCTAGGCTAACCTGACTGATTCATGAGCCTGTTTTGCAGACGTTGACCATCCACCAGTAAGACTGGCTAAGATGGGAGCACACTGGGAAGAATTCTTGGAACCGTGAAGAAGGGACCGGGAGTGAGCGAAAGTAATCTCTGCGAGGACACACCCCAAGATCTCCCCCCACGCGTGACGCTCACACTGCCATTTTTGACCAGGTGTCCCATGAAGAGACAGGAGTCCTGAATGCTTGTTCAGAAAGGAAGACACCTGTCCTTCCCTATATCCACGTAGTGTGTTTCGTCCAACTTCTATGCTGATTACAAAGGAAATGAAAGAATATGAATGGACAGCCAGATGAAGAGATATGTAGGGCGAGGACCTGAACAAAGGAGCTTCTGTCCTAGCTAAAGTTTGGGCCCCAACATGGTGGCCCGTGGAGGTGTTTTGGCTCCCCCGATTTGGAAGCTCGCTGAACCCTCTCCATTTTGGGGTTTTAGAGGCTGCATTACAGAGGCACGATTGTTTAATTCCTTGGCCATTGGTTGATCCAACCTTCAGCCCCTCTCCCCTCCCAGGAAATCAGTCTGTATGCACGGTTGGTTTCCCTGGCAACCAGCCCCCATCCTTAGGTGTTTCCCCAAGCCCACCTCCTGCAGACACACCACATCCTGTGAATAACAAGGCACCCGGTTCACCTTTAAGGCTCTGAAGCATTTTCAGGAACTGAGGGCGAGACTAAATATCAAAACACAAGGTTTACCCATTGCTCTTAACACTCAGGAAATTCCAAGGGTTTGGGGAGCTGTAAGCCAGCAACTGTGGATGAAGACCAAATATATAATGAAAAATATATTTTGGTCCTCCAAATGAATGACCAAATGTACATATGTCTTACAAATCACAATATTGCTCCTAGGTAGTCTCCAACCTGTTCATCCATCCATCTCACCTATTCGTCCGTTAATCTCATCCATCCATCTCATCTATCCATCTGTCCATCCATCCATCCACCCCATCTATCCATCCATCCATTCACTCATCCATCCATTCACCCATCCACCCATCTAGATACTTAATACCTACCAAGTGAAAGGCATTTTTCTAAGCAGTGGGATAGAGCAGTGAACAAAACACATCCCTGCCTTCATGGGGTTTATAGTCTCGTGGTGAGAGAGTCAGTGGGAGAGGCAGACAAGAAACACAAGAAATAAGTAAATTATACAGTAGAATATAAACTAATGGATGTTAGGGAGAAGGATGAATCTGGGAAGGAGGCTGGGGAGTGTAGGGTGGGGCGAGAATGCGATTTTAAATAAGATCACCAGGGAAAACCTCAGGGAGGCTTTTATCTGAGCAAAGACATGAAGGCGTTGAAGGAGCCAGCCAAGAAGCTATCTGGGAGAAGAACATTCCGGACAGAGGGACAGCAAAGACAGGTTTAGGGAGCTGGAAGGAGGCTGCGTGACAGGAGCAGAGTAATGGCTTGGGGGCACCAAGAGGGGAAGGGAGATGAGGTCAGATGGAGGCCAAAAAGTGCAATGTCTTATAAGCTATGGTAGGATTTTGGCTTTTACTGGGTGAGATGGGTAAACATCGGGAGGGTTCAAGCGGAAGGATGACATAATCTCCCTTAGCTTTTAACAGCATCCCTGAGGCTGTGGTGTGGGGAAGAGACCATAGGGGCAAGGCTACCACAGGGACTGACACAGTCCTTGGGAGAGAAGATGGTGGCTTGAAATGGTGTGGCCGTGGAGGTGGTGAGACGTGTCAGAGCCTGGACCTATTCTGAAGGTAGAGCCCACGTTTTGTGAGAGAAAAAGAAGACCACCATAATACCCAGGTGTTACCCTGAACAACAGGTCCTTACCCGAAACAGGTGTTGTGGCTGTGGGAGTGTAGGGCAAGATCAAGTTGCTCAGTTTGGACATGGCGAAGTTCGAGATACCCAACAGCCAAGCAAATGGAGGTGTTGAGTAGATGGTGAGACCTGTGTGTCTAGATTCAAGACGCCGGATCTCCAACACCAAACTGGTGACAGACACAAATTTGT